AAGGAAGGTTAAAGTTCAAGCCCAGCGACACCAGGATGAATAAGGTGAAAGAGTAATACCCAGAATGCCCCTGAGCAACTGCACAGTAGCAAACACATGACATTGTCCTCACTCTGGTCATGTCCCACACTGACTGTGCGTAACATTGTGTAAACGTTACAGAGATATGACAGAAATTGTGCCAGAGATAAAACTTTTCACAATTCCCTGTTTGGTCGCTTGCATGCGAAGTCACAACTGTGTGTTTTTTCTTCTCTCTTGCGCAATGTCATTACATTTGTTTGTTTTAGGAACCGGTAGTGATGCTTTGTCTTTCCATGCTCTGATTGGCCAATGGGTAGATTCCACAGAAAGGCTAATGTTGACATAATCAGCAACTTGATTCTCTACAGAGCCAGTTGGATGTGTTGGATTAGCTCAGTGGTGTTCTATTTGGATTCATGCCATGTTGGCTGATCTGGCTTCTTTGGCTGTAGTCTTTCCTTTTATTCGAATCAATTTCCAACTGTTCCACCTTCATATGGTTTGATAAATGGCCACCAACCCTAAGACCTCACTTAAACCTTAGACATTTCACTAAACCTCTGTGACTTCAGGGTTTCAATAAGAGGCTTCATTATTGTCTGTGCGGTGGTCAGGTAATCTCTGCTCATCGTTCTGACCTACAGCGAGATGATGTAGAAGTGCAGATGTCCAGACTGTTGTCATAACTTTCAGCCACGGCCTCCTCCAGGACTGCTGTTGTGTTTACAGCATTTCATGATCCCAAAACTGACCCCTGGATGTGCTTTACTGCCATGACAACTAGGAAAGAGCCCCCCTGCCCCACTCTTTAACTTTCCCAGGATTTCTGAGACAGCACTAGTGTCTTCAAGTCAGCTCTTATCAACACAAGTCTTCCTGATTTCCAGTGGGAACCAAAGCTGAGGTAAGGACCACATATGTTGATTCCCAGGGTGGGAGTTTAGAAGGGTCACCGAGATCCATCCAGGGGTCACAGATCTAGATCTCATTACAGCAGATGAGAAATAAAGAAGAGTGCGGTATCTGATCTGCCCTAGTGGTTACTGAGAGTACAGCATATATCTGCGGGCAACAAGCTCAGTGGGAAATGTAAATTTTGTTGCCAAAATTGTAGTTTATTTTTGTCATTTAAAAAAATATATTCTCACCATTATGTTTTGAGGAAATTTCCACTCTTCAAGTGATGTATTTTTATATAACTTCAGCTCCTGCTTAGCTAAATATTTTTAGCTATATTTGCTTTATTTTTGACCAACTTTAAGCTATTTCTGTGCTAGATTGCATACTCTTTTGTTTTATTTAAACCTGTAGCATTTTTATCTTTCCTTTTAAACAAGCAGTTCTAGCAAACGCATCACTTTGAATAAGAAAAAAAAACAATCGTATCCTCTTAAACCCCGAGCGATGGAACAGTTTAAAATGCTTTTATCAAACCCACCAACAGGAAGGTGATACCACATCATATTGAATCCATTTACATTGGATCTATAAGGAGAGGAGAGGCTCTTACAGCTCCAACACGCTGCTGCCTTCACTCCTCATCTGCTGGACTGTCAAATATCTGTAAGAGCAGGAGTCTGACGAGGAAACAGGAATCCTGACAAACAAAACACACATTTTACATTGGGTGCATATGTCTGTGTGTGTGTGTGTGTGTGTGTGTGTGTGTGTGTGTGTGTAGAGGGCGCATAGTGTGACAACCACCTTGACAGAATACAGCTGCTAGCAAGTGCTGATACAGAGACCTCACATACAGTGATCTGTTTCTACTCACCTGTTTCTACATAGCCGTGTGTGTGTGTGTGTGTGTCTCAGTTTCAAGTGTCGCAGACTGACAAGTTTTTTGTGAACACAACAAACAGTTTGACTGACACTGTGAAAACCAAGCCCTCCAGGATTCACTGACCAAGACAGTTTGGTCTGCTCTGACGGCCATGTGAGACAAAAGTAGTTCAAAATCACAATACTGGCCTGGAGTACACAACACCAGAAGTACCACCTATTTGACAAATATTTAATTCACAGATATTTGAGGAGATGTACTAAGTTATTTTTAAATTACACACGCACATACACATATATATGTATGTATATCAGTGTTTAATTACTTCCAGAGTACTTATGTACTAATAGATCTATGTCTAATAGATCTAATTGTTGTACAACTTTGTACCAGCATTACAACAAGGAGTAATATATATATATAAAGTATATAAAGTATATAAAGTGAGTGTAGAGTTTACCACAGTTTACCTTGTAGGTGTGATGATAGTGCCAGGACATGTCGTCTTCCTCTGACGTATAATCCACCAACACTTTACTCTTGCTTTTCTTGAACATATCTCCACGTCCGGGCGTCAGATGAACTGGGATCGAACTATTTTATCAGAGTAAACAGCCAAGCACCGACGGCTTGGTTCCTCCTCAGTCCGTCTTTCCTTCTTCTCTGGAGGTCACAGCGGCGCAGAGCTGAGACGCTGCTTGTGTGGATTTTTTTTTTCCTTTTCTTTTCTCCTCCGGCAGCAGCAAATCCTTAAATCTGTCCTGGATAAACAGCTTATTCCTTCATCCTCCAGCGGTGCCAGGAGCCGAGTGACTTTTTCTCAGAATGAAGTTCAACCCACCGGTGGTTTCGTCAGTGTGGCGTGTGTTTGGTGCCTTTCTACGCAGACCACCTGGACCTCGGAGCGTCGCTCCTCCCACATCCCCCTCACAGTTGCCATGGTAGGAGGAAAATGAAGCCACGTCCCTCTGAGTCTGTGGGTATTTGTTTAAAATATAAATATCACAATATTACAACATTTCCGACAAACAATCTGTAAAAGAAAAGAAAACAAACGCCTCTAAGGTATTATGCTATTGGTTTTGGCAAAGGTACTTCAATATTTTATACACATCATTGTTGTGCAGTATTAAAGTACACTAGCAGTAAATAATGGAATTAACGTTATCCAACACTTATATTGTTGGGTAACGTAATGTTTGCTGAATAAAACAGAAACTTTTTGCAGTTATTTCTGGACTAAGATGTTGTTATTTCTAATCAAAGGCTGAATTTAAACTTTCTCAGTCTAGACAATAAAACATTAAAATATATAATTATGTGTTGCATTGCAAAACTTAAGTATTAAATGCAAAGAACAAGGTACTTGAATGCATCATCCTCCCATTAGTTGTTGGTCTGAAAAAGAAAAATACACACGAGGTTTACACTTAGAAGTAAAAAAAAAGTTTCCTCGTTCAGTTAAAGTACACGTCTGTATTTGTAGTAACACGTGAATGAGTATCGAAGTACAGACCTACCAACAATGCAGTCACTCTTTTAATTCAGATACTGGAGAAACATTTAGTCGTCTGTCAACTGTCTGTACATTATATACAGCATTTATTTTAATATTCACACACTGCAGTACGACTGTGTGGAAATACAGATAGTACCTTCACTTGTATCTCATGAACTTCAGCCAAAACAAATATTCTGTGATAAAGTCCTGCCTTGTCCTGTGGTATTTGTTACTTTTATCTATACAGACAGATGATATTCACTCCACCGAAATAGTCCTGCATTAGCTCATCATTTATTTTTCATAACATATTCGTCTTTATACACAAACACACACACAGAGAACAGTGATGCCAGAGTGGACAAACACCACATCATGCCTTAGGGCTGACCTCTGAAAATAGCCACAGTTCAGCAGCAGTAAAGACCACTCACCTGATTCAAAGGACCTTAACGTTCCGTCAGTGTTCACATTGTCCTGAACAGGAAACATGTGCGTGCACATTTCTTTATGCATATTTAGCGTTAGGTTAATTTGTTAAAGAAATCAACCGTCACTACAATGCATAAATATAGGTAGTAGTACTGATGATGAAGTACTTCAAACTGTGTGTACACACATGTAATTCTGATGGTGTCAGCTCTTCATTAGTACCAGCTGACACAAGCCTTGAAGGCTGTTAGGAGATGTCCTTCACTCATCAATAGGCAGGTCACTGACCTTTGACACCTAGGGTCACAGTGGGTCTGTTTGTGTGAGTGCCCCCTTTTCTGGACATCCATTCCCATAGTATCTGATCAGTGGTTATTTACAGTCCAGGTAGCCGCGCTGGTCAACGTCTACATCCTGTTTCAAGTAGGACCCAAGCACCAGAGGAGCCAGACCAAACTGTCCCTCGAACCAAAGGTCTACAGAAGTTTTTAATAGGATTAGGGTATTTTATCCTGAGTATACAACTTTATATAAAAAATTAAAACAAATATATGTTGTTTTTGTTAGCTCATTAGGTCCTGATGTTTGTGTTGGCGTGTACTGTGTGTTTATTGAGTTTTCAGTATTATTGATCTGAGGCTGTTCTGATTATTTTAGAAAAATAGGTCACATTTCAAAATGTTCAAAACAGCCATGCAGGGACACAGCTGTGGCTGTGGACTTAAGAAAGTCACGCTGGGACACAGACGTACTGAAGGGGAAGGAAACGTTTTGTTTGTGCAGAAAGAAAAGATAATGAAACACAAACATCATAATTAAAACCACAATGTCTTCCAACATCACAGTTTGTGAGGTTTCAGAAAAAAATACACGTATGTAAAAAAACAAAAAACCAAAACTATAATATGTGACAAAGTCACTGTCCACATTGGATGTTTTGTTTGGCCTAAAATGACCAAAACCCAGATGATCGCACCATACCCTACAGTGACATTCACTTCACCTGACTTTATGTTTCAGAAATGAAAATAAAAAGTAACTGTAGGTTTAATTCTCTTCCCCCAAACAGTGATTTTCCTTCTCCATAAGTCTGTTATGGCAGCGCAGCAAAGATCAGGATCCAGAGATTTACCACAACACTGCAGCCTGGATTAACAGTTCAACACGTTCTCTTACACCAACCCGTGAAAACACAGCTGCTTGGCTAAGAACAGGAACAGGATTTATTTCACTGCAATTACAGATTGACTCTGAACCTTATATTTGTACAGAAGAACTTACAGGAAAAACCTCCAAGTAGTATTGTTATGAATACTTTCTACTTTTACTTCCTGCTATCAAACCATTTCAGGTTAGAACAGTAAGTACTTAATAGTGCTCTTTACCAAAACATTTTAAAGGTCAAAACATTTGAAGGGGTAGCTTTTGGTGCAGGAGCTTTAAAACAAGAAGTTTTTGTATATTATTATAAGTATTAGGCAAAACAAACAGAAGGAGATAGGTCTTTTTTTTCTTTTTACTTTCTGTCTTCCCCCGATAATTCTAGGCTTAAAGGGTCTGACACTTCACACTAAGCTGTGGTTACATCAGGATATTTAGTCAGGAATCGGACCAAAATAAAGCTGGTGTTCACACCAAGGTAATTTTCACTCACACCTCATTAACTTTACACAGCAGACCCTAAAATAGACCTGCTGTGACTTGGCATATCCACCTCCCAGTGTTTGTTAACAAGCTACTAAGCAACATCACACATCCTCACAGCTGCCGTTTCCCCTGTCACCCACTGAACAAGGTCGGAGCAGCAGACAATAACTAGAGTACTAAAGTCTTGAACGCATCAACACACACACACTACACCATTGGGTTATGAACAAAACGATAAGTCCGGTCATAGAATAAATGTATTCCAATGAGGTCGCTGTGAAACAATGCCAAGCTCTT